GCCAACATACATTATGCTCATGTCATTGTAAACCTCACTAAAACAATTATTTTTACCTGAACTCAAACAATTATTTTTACCTGAACTCAAATATTTATTTTGCAGACTTGGAACTCAATATTGCATTGCCATGCACAAAGATTACAGAGAAATCCGAATGAACCGAAATGAAGTGGAAAATGACTAACTAGAAAGTGAGCCCGAATCCAGGTATCTGATGACGGGCCATTTAGCTGCACCATGGCTTCATAAAGCAAATATAAAGCACGAATATTGAACACACTGCAAAACAACCATGACTCAGTAGTGAAAACTCTAGTTGTAAACATCTTCAATTTCCCCTAKTATAATTAAAAAGAAGACAAAGAGAATATCTTTTACAAACTATTTGCATTGCAACTGCTTAGTTTTACCTTTTGTTGTAAAAAAGAGAATTTCAACTGTATTGAATACTGAGGAGAGAGACATGCATCCTATGTCCCATTCATAAAAACCAATTCTCRCATTTTGTCTGCTAATATCTACCAGGTAAGTAATCCTTTCCAATCTTGTGCTGAAGAAGCCATCAAATGTAAACAAAACTAATAAATAACATAACTACTGGCAAACTAACAACAGAAAATCCAATAAAACAGCCTTTTTGGATCTAATAATACATCACCTTCACTAATTAAGGAAAAAAAAAAAAAAAAAGATGGACCTGTACTCCAAACGTCCTGCTGAATATTTGCTGTTGAACATGAGCAAATAGAATATGAGAGGGAGATAATGATGAGCAGAAGCAGAAAAAATCCCCGAGAAAGTGCTGTGGACATACACGTTTGAGAAGTAATGACCAACATATCACATAAACCCAACCRGGCGCTGCTGGTACACGGTGACTCAAGGGATGCCATGCTTCTAGAGTGACAGATTTGCCACAGTTGTATTTTTTAGGGAGCTTCTCCAAAAATAATATAACCTTCAGTGGTGAGTACTCCTATACAGGGAGCATCAAAGAATTTGGCTCTGCTTTTTATTTAACAGTGCTCACATTCTGCTAGAATGACAATCTTGATAGCTTTCCAGTTAACAGAAGAGGGATGCATACTGCTTCTATAAATGGATCATATTCTTGCCCAAAAGCAGAGCTTGACAAACGGGAGTTTATAGAAAAGGGTCACTTGGAATTATAAGTATTTCCACTTAAGCAATAGTATAATACCTGGGATGCGGTTGCTGTTATCAAGCGTAGTAAAGAAGGGCCAATGGAATTCATTAAAATGTGAGCATAGCCTAGATCACTTGCAGATTTTGCTTGCTCCACAATCATGGCCTGGCCCTATTCTGAATTTTTAAAKGGAGGTGACGGATCTTGCTGCTGGCAATTCCTCAGCTCTGTGGGCTGCAACAGTAGAAAAATGGTTTGTTGCTGCAGCTAGGGCCTCTGGATTTGTTCTGCTGTTTACACCAACATTGAGCTGGCGTTGGATTAGTCTATTCCTCTATGAGAACAAGTCCTCTGGTCTTGAGCTGAAATCTGGGTTTATTTGTCAAGTCGTTTGCTCTCATTTTCCTATTTTCCAGCCTGCAACTTTCTGCTTCCTCCTGCTGCTTGGGGAAAGGGCTTATGATGCTCGTTTCCAAGGCAGGRGCCTTCCCTTCCAAATGGTAAGGGGAGAGAGGCAGAAAGGAACCCAGCTGTGTCTGCGCAAGGGCGCRGAGGCCGGAGAGGCCAGCAGAGCCAGCGGGAGGGCGCTCCGGGCCCGGGCAGCCCGAGTCGTTGCCACATCGCGCCAGGCTGGCGCTCCTCAGTCCTAGAGCCCCCGCTGGCAGCGGCGCCCTGCGCTGAGCGCACCCCGTCACCGGCTCACCCGCGGCAGGCCAGAACCCCTCACCCGCAGGTAAGATGGACGGGCTGCCTCTGTTCTGCCCATTTCACTGGAGCCTCGAAGCGTCGTGCAGCGCTGTGGCACGAGGGCATGTTTAGGGGGGAGGACATGTTCTCTTCCACCCTGTACCAGACCTGCTGGACTGCAGCGCTCTGTCGAAGGCCTGAGTAGTCTGAGCAGCAAATGCTGCACGACCAGCCCCTCTATGGCACAAGAGCTCTGGGCCTCAAGTTAGGACTGACTTCACTGACTTGCCTTATGACAATACCTTTCCGCAGTCAGAAAGGTATTTTCATTTACTTTTTAAATCATTGTATCAACTGTCTATCAAATAGATAAACAGAAATCAAAACAGGAAGTAAAAACTGAACAGGATTCTGGGCATCATTTTGCCAGTTACGTCTCACAGCATTTTCCTGCTTGAACACTCCCAGGTCACTTTTCCATTGCATTGTACTGACAGCAAAATTATGCAGGACTTTTCTAGCTAAACTAAAGCCTTAATAAGAAAAGGTCAGGCAGATCTCAGCATACATTTATAAAGACAAGGGCCAATCATGTCTTTAACAGATGGCTAAGTCTCTCCATTCAGTACATCACATCCCTAGGAAGCGGGATACCTACGTCCTTATTCAAAGKGTATTTAGTTTAGAGTGGTTAGTAGGAGGAGGACTATAAAGGCCTCGAGGGAGGACAGGGGTGACTCTCACAGCAGCTGGGCAGCGCATCGGCAGCTCCTAGCGCTGAGGCTGGGACTGGAGTGGGCGCCGCACAAGGATGGGGGTCAAAGCCGCCCTGTGGCCAGGGTCATGTCCCCTTCCTCAGGCACTACGATGCGGTCGTCAGTCCATGACGAGCAGCTCTGAAGAGTGGCTACATCCACCGCCCTCCCCTTGTCCCCAGCTCTCCGGACACCCAGAGCTGCAGCAGCCCCTGCTCAGCCCCTGGGGCTGCCTCGGCAAAGAGCAAAGAGCAGCTCTCACTGGGGTGCACCAGCACCACAACCACTTGGGAACCCCTTAAAACCACCCAGATTCCCCTCACCTGAGCGGGAATCCAGACCTGAACAAGAGCAGCAAAGCACATGCTTGCAGCAGGCATGTACTCAAAATCACACACCAAACACCAGTTCAKACCAACACACAAAACCCAAACCGGGGCAAAAGCATCAAACACAGCATTACGGCTAGGAACAGACCAAAGTGTCGCTGAAGGGCTGTCTGGATGTGGGAGCAGACAGGCTCTGGCCATGGTGCAATGAGCAGTGCTGAGGATGGGCATCCAACACGTCACCGTACAGAGCTGCACAGGGCACCGCAGGCAAATGTTCTCATGAGGGATCAAGATAAGCTTTTAAAATGTATATGCCTTTGCGTTCCCCACCCAGAAAGTGCACTCAGCGTCTTTTATACATTTATATTCGCAGAAGAAAACGAGTCAGGCTCCAAAAGGGCATCCAGCGTGACAAGCAACCCGAAGGCATGGCGCAGGCCTCCACAGAGCGGCCGTGAGGACAACGAGGAGAGCGGATGCGAAGCCTCGCGAAACCCACCCGGGGCAGAGACGCACCCGCCACGAAGCGGCGCGGCCGCGGGGGGGGCGGCAGGGGCCGCGCGGATGAGGATGGCGCGGGAGGAGCCCGCCGGCCCCCCGGCCCCGCCGCGGGGCACCGGGACAATGGTGGCGGGCGGGCAATGCTGTCCTGCGGCCACACCTCTGCGCGCGCCGCTCCACCGCAGCGCCGACCCCGGCTCCATCACGGCTCCATCCCCGTCCCCGGGCCCTGCCCGCCCGGGCCCTTCAACCCCCCCCGACCCCACCCGGGCTCCTCGCCAGCACATCCCCACCCCGGCCGTTGCCCCGGGCGGCGCCGCTCACCGTACGGTGGCCAGGGAAGGATGCCGAGGGCGAGGGACATGGGGGCCGCATCCATCTTCCCGCTGCCGCGGCCGCTCCAGCGCCGCTG